TTGGTTTACCGGAAATTGTTACATTGATTACACAGTATACATACAGCCATAGTACTCGTTTATCTTAGCTTAGCTTAGATAGCTTGTCGCAAAGGATCTCTCCAACCTTGTGATTTGGACTGTCGTTGGATATATTTTTCAAAAAAGTTACGGGTAATTAAGACTTCGTGTTTTAATTTTAGGTAGAGTTAAATAGGTAAAGCCTCTTAAAATTTCATGTGCACATAATCATAAAAAGCTTTTGAATGAAGCTTTTGATAACAACTGTTTAGGAAATGATGTCAAATGATAATTTATTTATTTATTTATTTATATTAGGGAAACAAACAATTTTGATATACAGACAAATAATCACACAAAAAATAGGACAGAAATCAGCAAAGTTTCCACAGTTAAAATTAATACAGAGTGCAGACTAAAAATTAATTAAATAGTAATAAATTATACATTAATTTCTAAATGTCAAATAAATACAATGTCAATTTTATAAAATGTCAAACAGTTAAATTTAATAAAAATTATAAAATGTCAAAAAGTTAAATATTAATAAAATTATATAAATTAAAAACACAATAATTATGTAGGTCAAAATTAAAATCAAGTTATACATATATTCAAACATTCTCTCAATTGTTTTTTATAAGATGGTAAGGAAGAATTAAAAATGTCAATCGTGTTAAACCTATTATTATATTCCTTACAAGATACAAAACTGTTGCTAGCATAATTAGTCCTAGTGAGAGAAATAGAAAAAAGTTTTGTAGAACGCGAACTCGTCCGAGGGCACTTAAAACTAATATTACTTAACAAAAAAGAGATAATGATAGAAAATAGTGATTTTTAGTAAGTCTTACTTGAGCTTTCTTAAAAATCTAGCAACTTCTTGCTCTGTGTAAAATAAATAATACTTTCTGAGAGCTCCATTCCCTTGAAGCCGACCCTGTCCGTGAATTGAACATTGAACTTCGCACTCTCACAGGTCGTGTTACTGTGTCGCATTTGTATCAAATGGTTATGTTCTGCCCTTAATGTCAGGTACCTACTTTGTTTGAGTAGTGAAACTATACCTATTGGCTGGAATTACCTCCGTATAGGTAAAATAAAATGCTTGAGTGTGGCTAAATTCTATGTAAGATTGATAACCAAACATGGATTTTCGATTAGTCGTGCGTGCGATACACGTGAAGTGCATGATCTCTATTCTTAAATAATAATAATGCTCTATTACTCGTAGTCCATGGTGGTGGTACAAACATTTTTATAGACCCAAACTATTCCATAACTTAAGCCCAATTCGACCAAACTTTTATCCGAGAATAACTTCCTTATATACTCGTACCTGGCACATTGACAGTTTCAGTATGGGAAATATGTCAAAATGTCGAATAACTGACGATTTATTCTGAGATTATATTTACTCTAAACTGTACTAACAGCCATCTACCTATAAAGTTCGTAGCCTTTTGTTACCGTACCCCTGTGCTATTACAAGCAGACTGTTGCTGTGAATAGCAGGTGTTATGGGCCTTTGCTTTTGTAGTTTGAAATCTTTCATGTGTTTGCTAGATGGCGTTGACGTTAGAGCATCTGACCCTTTACTGAGGGGAAATTACGGAATATTTTTTGCATACAGTTTCAATGAGTTACAAAACATTTCAAACGTTCCTAATCCGCATATTATTTTAAGAAAGAAATAAGCCGTTGGGGTATTTAGATTAGGTATCCTCAAACTCTAGAGAACCTGGAGGTGCTCTCTATTTCAGTTTTTCACTCTTTCTACGAGTACCTACCTAGAACTTACTGAAAGCAAAATAAACTTACTGAAAAAAAACATACTAATATCATGCTAATTAATAAAAATCAGTATTTTTACAGTTAACAATCAAATAATAGAAAATATTCAGGAACTTATCGGTGACGTGTAGAAACGTGATGTGAAAAAGCTCTCAAAGCTCGTGCACACAACATGCTCACATCAGGAGCCGCTGACACGTTATTTAAGCTGCTAGAAACTTGAAAGTCAGATACATGCAATTAGGTACTTTGCTGCTTAGTTAAAATTGCGATATTCATATAACATAGAGCGTTCCGATGGCTCGTCGTCACCACCTGAAAAAAAAGTGGTGTACTTACACCCATATTCACAAACGATGCTTGCATAAGTGAAGCAGCAAATCGAACGCACAACGTTGAATAGAGCGCTGTGATTGGATCGTGTGTCACACGCGTACTGTGAGACCTCATAGTAATGTTTGTGAATACGGGCGTTAGTCCCTTAATGACGATTCAATTATACTAATTAAGTTGAGCATTGTTCAATAAGTTCCAGACTACACGAACTAAAACACAGACGATGAAGTCGTGTCGCGTGTTTCAGAGCGTGCCGCAATAATATTATAACCATAACATTGTTTACAAAAGGTGCATTAAACTTCGTTTAGTTTTACATAACTTTATGCCCTACTTCGTAAGTAGATTTCCGTATGAGAATAATCGTATGTTTAGTTATAGTTTACTTAAGATACAAGATATTATGCTTTCCTTATCATAATATAGGTACAGTCAGCAACAAATCGGGTTTTATTTACAATTAAAGTTTTATGTAGACAGCGCCTTGTTGAACACAAAACAAACACGAAAAAGAGGCTGACAAAAGTGACTGTGAGTTTCTTCCGCCACTTTTTCTCAACACCAGCCCATATGTTGTCCAGAAGTGGTGGTAGAGCAAGCTATATTTGGGACAGCTGACCGAATAAGTGCCTTGGAGAGGAACTACTTACTGAAAAAACTACTGAATATTGAATAGTTACAATCCTTTTACATAATGTAAGCAACATAAATTAATAGGCCTTATCAGTATGATTTTACAAGTTGTATAGTTGAAATAAAATTTTAAAAATATTAAAACTCTACATACTCGTAACCGTAAAAAATACGCATGCATCAGTATGCATCGTGAATTCGTAATGCATTTATCAGCACAATGCACACTTGTCGTTTCTTGCAATTTGACCACAATACGCTCAACAAGGGGAAAATTGACAGTTCAAGTTGCATTCTTGGGAAAGTGGTTTATACTTTCTTCTAGCTAGTTATGTATTATCTTCTTATAGTATGTACTAGCGGCCGCCCGCGACTTCGTACGCGTGGATCCCGTTTTACCCCCTTCATCTATCTTACGCGGTTTAGATTTTTTCATATAAATGTTTTTTCCCGCTAACTCCCGTTCCCGTGGGAATTTTGCAATATCCTGTTGTAACTAAGCTTTAAGTTTACTAAGATACCTGCATGCCAAATTTCAAGTGTCTAACTTAAGCGGTTTAGATTTTTTCATACAAATGTTTTTTCCCGCTAACTCCCGTTCCCGTGGGAATTTTGCAATATCCTGTTGTAAATATGCTTTAAGTTTACTAAGATACCTGCATGCCAAATTTCAAGCGTCTAACTTAAGCGGTTTAGATTTTTCATACAAAAGGATTTTCCCGCTAATTCCCGTTTCCGTGGGAATTCCTAAGTATACTATAACCTGCCCAGGAGTATAAAGAATAATTGTACCAAGTTTCGTCAAAATCCGTCGAGTAGTTTTTGTTTCTATAAGGAACATACAGACAGACAAACAGACAGACAGACAGAAAAAAATTTTACTGATTGCATTTTTGGCATCAGTATCGATCACTAATCACCCCCTGATAGTTATTTTGAAAATATATTTCATGTACAGAATTGACCTCCCTACAGATTTATTATAAGTATAGATTTCAGCCATAGGATACAAACTCCTGTAGACCTCCTCTAATAATTTCAGATTGACCTGTAGAAAACAGCCTGCATCCAGCTGCTCCCTGCAACCTTTAAGGTCATCTGTCCAACATGAACTTTGCCAAAAGTTACAGTTAGTTACGCATGTTATATCAGTCTCCAAGTATCGACATGTCGCAAACTCCTAAATGACTCCCAAACAATGATCTTGCCGTGAACGAGCAAGTGTGTCACCCTCACCGTGCGACCGTGCGGTAATGGAACATAATATTATGTCACACGTCACCATGGTGTCGTCAACAACGATGCTCTGATTGTGATTGTTGTCACAGGTAAGGCTATGCTTTACTTATATCATTACTCAACCAAAACTAGCTGTTACGCTGCATTAGTCTACAGCTGAATTCATGCCTTACAAAGTACAGAAGGTGCTACCAATAAACCTGTCATCAAGCCGCATTTTTAGATTAGTCACCTTCCAGCGACAACAAAGGACCCATAGCATTATAAAAAGCAGACTTCTATTTATTACCTACGTGGTTACTTATTCACATTGGGCCGTTATATGCCCAGCGTCAACTTATAAAGATGCTAAAGTATTCAGTCAGTATTCAAGGCCCCTGATGATAGCCTATTAAGAACTTTTCTGACAGAGAAACTAAAAAGACCTGGATAGATAAGTGTACCTATCTGGAAACTGGAAGACAAAATCACTAGTAATCAGCAACCTAAAATGTTCTTGCTATAATAAAAATACCACTACTAGCATCCCCTAACAAATATCAGCAAGGGAACGTGTCAACTCACGGACGTATCGGCAGCTCCGCAGCAATGTTCCGCTAGCTTGCGACTGCGCCCGCGCATGTGACCGTCGCCGTTATAAAAACATATTTCTACTTCACTACAGTAAGGTACGCCAGTATTCAAGACAAGTTAAAATAATAAAATGAAGTTCTTAAATTGATGAGTCTGTATATGGAGGTTGGCGCCATCTTTTTTCTTATTGCTCATAGCTTTTAAATTGAACAATTATCCTTAACTGTGCGTTACATTGTCAGTTACTGATATTTTGACCAATACTATACAGTTAGATCCGATAACAAGACCCTACATTACATTCCTTCGAAGAAGCAAAACAAAACAATATGCACCGGCCACTACTAAGCAACAACAATGCCTCTATTAGCAGATGTCATCGTGCGTGCGACAAACAAAAGCATGGGAAGAGATAAAAATGCGGACGGAACTTAAACGGGCCCAAAGACAATACTACCTGCTTCCTTGAAAGACCAGTGCTGGTCCAACGTTCGTCAAGGATGGTCGTGTTTTGTTTGGTGTTATCCCTCGCAGTGCTGGCAGCAGGGGAGCATTCGGGCGCGTACTCATCTCCTCAATACGCGAAGAAAATGTACCCTAAAGCGTATGACGCAAACGCGATTTTGCCAAGAGAAAAACCTCCGATTCCTTTCGATAACTCGGCTTCTCGATTCGATGTGAACGACACGGCTCAGTACGGACGGTCGTCGTTCATGGATACTGCTGGAAGCTTCTTGAACAGTGCAGGTGGGCAGCTGGTGTCAGGCCTGGCAAAGGACTTCATCGCCAGGTCGACGGGCAGCAGTCAGGTTGGTTTCGACTGCGTATCACAGGTTCGTTCTGCACTCTTTCTTGTAAAGTTGCACGCTCTTGCACAATGTTAATGCTTTAATTTATTAAATAAAGTAAGCTTTGCTTTTACTTTGAATTAAAAACATTTATCAATCGCGATTCATACATTTTGTACAAGGCATTGTACTTATAACGTAATCTACTTCGCCAACTCTATATTATATCTATTGATTTAAATTAAATAAATAAAATGATGAAACATGAAGGTAAAACAAGTTTTCAGATATTTAAGCAACATGTAAACTTTATCAAACAAGATTTACTTATTCGGTAAAACGAAATGATTTTAACTTATCTAATGAAGCATGGAAAAACTTTTTACACATTGTTTCCCAAGATTCGTATCTGCTTATCCGTTTTTCAAAGAATTATGAATCATGGTCAAAAGGGCAGTGCAGTGAACTAATTGTCTAGGGACTTTTTACCTTCTTTCTGAGAAAGTGACTCATTTTAGTCTGCGAAACATTTTTTTAATCCATCAATGATAAACTTTGAAAACTCTACCTATTGTTATCTTAATTGATGCCTTTAAAGCTTTTAATTATTTACAGTTTGTATTTATTTATTGAAAACATACACATCCATTCATTTATCTACTTTATTCAATAAATGGATTACTTTAGGATTGGTTCAAATACAAATACCTACTGTTCAACATAGAGATAGTGAGATAATAATAGAAAATATTGTTATCCCATTTTTATTATTAGGGAGATTCTGCTCATAATCTTCATCCCGCGAGTTATATCATTAATTTAAATACTTTCTTATCATTGTTATCATGGTTACAGGTACTAAGCCTGAATCTAACCAACTTGGTGATATTGATCGTGCTGAAGGCTCTCATCTTGGCCGCCGGGTTCTTCGGCGCCGGCGCATGGAAGGGCGGCCATCATTACGCGAGAAGTCTTGACGGTAAAAAATATTTTGTACTGTTACTATTAAGCTAGGCACATAAAAACTTATAAGTAAACCAAAGGAACGCGAAAGATAACAGATTTCAAATAACGCCTGAACTAATATTATTGAACATAAGTAGACTGTTACAACAGGTTCTTCACAAAATTTAGCTTTCAATATTTTTAATTTCTAAATTATTACATCTAAACAAAAATAAATAAGTAAAGAACTTCGCCGAGCAACAATGACTCAGACATCGGGCAGCTAGTGGTCACATTATATTATGTCTAGACACAAACAACACACTTATTTTTTGTTCCGCAACACTTTTGCCGGCAACAATCACCAGGAAGTGTCTCTAATAGCCCAACAATGATACCATCTGCCCATAGACGGCACGTGTCAGCACTCTATAGACTCTATGGCCAAATGACCATCGCTTAATCCCATATCCTTTGAGATGCGACCCGTGTCCAGACGATAATCCCGTTTGTGTAATCCCGCACGGTGGAGGTGACCAGTTAGACACCCTAGTGGACAATGGCTTTAAATATGTAGTTATTTATGTACTCGTATAGTCGGGGATTGATAAAACCATTAACGGTCGAGTGGCGAACGTAGTTCCTTTTAGAGACGATTATACCAACCAAACCACTGGAAGATCATTTAATTGCCTGAAATTATAGTCCATTTTATTCATTTGTAGGTACTAATAATTAAGACAAGTATTTCAGTGAAAATAAGGGGTTATTTTGTTTTATGATTATCTTATCCTCTTATAAACTTTCACATATTCCAGTAGTAAAATTTAAGATAAATGGAAAAGAATGTGTTGTATCTCACTAGAGTTTTAGTCCTACATTTGGAAAAAGACAACCATTTTTTTTATTTTATAATTTACCCATACCTTTTGCTACCCCGCAGACAATAAAAACGCATCCTACCTTACCGAGGACGAAGTACTCCTGTACCTTAGCTATCTGTCAGGGCAGCAGAAGAAAGACTTCGGTTGCCTGTACCGCTTGTCCTGCCAGAAACCTGACCAGGCTGCTCTGTACTCTTCAGGCGCCGAACTTCTGCTGCAAGGAGCTAAACTATTACAAGGGTAAGTAGAATTTATCAGCTTGAACTGCTGCTATTTCCTATATAGCTGTCAGGGCACCAGAACAAAAGCTTCGGCTGCCTCTACCGTACGTCCTGCCTGAAACCTGACCAGGCTGCCCTGTAATCTTCAGGTGCTAAACTGCTGTTGCAAGGATCAAACTATTACAAGGATAGGTAGAATTATATCAGCTTGAACTGCTGCTATTTCCTATATAGCTGTCAGGGCACCAGAAGAAAAGCTTCGGCTGCCTCTACCGTACGTCCTGCCTGAAACCTGACCAGGCTGCCCTGTACTCTTCAGGTGCTGAACTGCTGTTGCAAGGAGCCAAACTATTACAAGGGTAGGTAGAATTATATCAGCTTGAACTGCTGCTATGCCCTCTATATAGCTGTCAGGGCACCAGAAGAAAAGCTTCGACTGCCTCTACCGTATGTCCTGCCAGAAACCTGACCAGGCTGCTCTGTACTCTTCGGGCGCCGAACTGCTGCTGCAAGGAGTCAAACTATTATAAGGGTAGGTAGAATTATATCAGCTTGAACTGCTGCTATTCTCTCTATAGCTGTCAGGGTACCAGAAGAAAAGCTTCGGCTGCTTCTACCGTCTGTCCTGCCAGAAACCTGACCAGGCTGATCTGTACTCTTCGGGTGCTGAACTGCTGTTGCAAGGAGCCAAACTATTACAAGGGTAGGTAAAACTACATAAATTTGAACTGCTGCTTTAACTCAAGTATCTGACAAGGCAGCAGCAGACGAACTTCGGCTGCCTCTACCGCCTGTCCAGCCAGTAGCCAGACCAGGCCGCTTTGTAATTTTCTGGCTGGATAAACTGCTACAAGGATAGGTTGAACCACATCAGTATTTACCGCAGTCAGTTTAATCATGGCAGCAAAAGGACATTAGATTTTACTGATTGTAGCAGAAACTTTTTTCAAGATTTTTGCCTTCTTGCGATGTATGTAACTACTGCTGCTACAAGATATCAAGACAAACATATCTCGGTGTCCAAAAAGTGTGTATTAAAATATTATTTTAAGTGGACTATATTTACTAATGTGAATGTAATAATTTCTCAGGAACAGCATAGAACTGGAGCCCTACGAAGACGTATCAAAAGGCATCAAGAAAGCGGTAGAGTGGGGAGAGACAGGAGGGCCGTGCGAGTCGCGTTACCCTTGCGGACAATGAGTCAGGAGCAGCCAGGAGATTTAAGTGGTAGCTTGTAGATAAGTGAGCTAGTTATAACACAACTTCAGCAGGTCATTTGTCCACTTTTGCCAGAGACAAAGAGAAGATTTGACCTACAGTTTTAATCGCTCCAAAAACAACTTAATGCTTAATCATGATGATAATATTAATGTTAGTCGCCAAACATTTTCAAACTTCCTGTTCCTTTATTCGTGGTGTGTAAATATTGGCGTTAAAGTGAAAGTTCCTGAAAATAATCATTAACAAACCTTAATCTTAAAAAAACTAACAAGGTACCTACTACATAATAATTATAAATACAAAATAAGCGCATAATTATTTGTAAATCTTGTCTTTATTACAAAATGTTATGGTAGAGTTCTTATTGTAACAAAAACTATGATTATGAAGATATTTAGTCAGTTATAAATAGGTAATATGTACAGAATTAAAATTAAATCATTTAAATATAAACTATAAACAATTCATGGAATTTTATTGTCTCCATTACAAAAATTTCGACTAACTAATTAGGGTTTTCTTCAATTAGGCCTTACATTTACACGTAAATTAACCTTATTGGCTCCAAAAGCTAAGTATTTTGTTATACAGTAATTAACAAATGTCCAACATAACTGCGAAATAATTCAACCTTTAGTCTTTAACAAACTGATTCAATACAAATCAGGATTACATAAAGCGCCTATAGACAGAGAGAGTCTTTAACATTAGTTCTTATAAAAAATGTTTTCACTGGCTCTCATGCCAAATGTTTTCATCCTTCACATCGTCCTTTTCAGCAAACGAAACAAACCCTATTTATACACAATCCTATTTTATTAGTTATCTTTAAATGGGGCGATTTTACTTTACAAATACAATAACATTCCCTATAGATGGGAAAAAAGGATTCTCCATGTGCCTTTTTAAAGAATATTAATAATTTGTCACAAAAAAATTATAGTCTCATTAACCTCTCGCACTAAGCCAAAAATGCTTGTGTTACGAGTGATTTCACCACAGTAGTCCACGTTCACGTTGCTGCTATCGTGGCTATTTAATATAGGGTAAGATTTTTTATCCGTCTCATAGAGAAAGTCATGGTATTTCATAAACCCCTTGAGGCCTCTAGCATATCAGCCATCTTTCGGCGCCCACCAGCTAGTTCACAAAGTGAAACTCGATTAGTAGACCCAGCAAAACGACACTAGTAAGGCCCTTAAAGATTGCACTAATAAAATAGGCGAACATCTATTCTTCGGTGGCCAGAACCCGCAGGGTACGGTCGGGGCTGTCCCCTCGCGCTGCCCGGTACTCCGGGTACGAAATGTACCCATCGCCATCAGTGTCATCCAGTCCTAGGGTACGGTCCACCACCGCTGTAAACGTTAAAAAATCTATTATAGTCTATCCAATATAGCTTGATTAGAATGACAGCTGTCATCAAAAGTAACGACATAACTTTGTAGTAGCAATCAATGAAAGCTAAATAATGGTGGACAAGAAATATTTCACGTCTGACCTACAAACAATATTTTCGACGACAGTGCTTCCAATAAAAATGTTAATTTCGTGTAAATGCAGCGTTAAATTACACCAATAAGTAGTAATTCGAAATTATAAAAATCAAGCTAGAGTATTAACGACGTCGCTACAAGGTTATCTCGAGTTACAAAAATGTTAGTGATGGGACATATCGACAATGTCATATTAAATTAAAATTAATTTTTTGACATATTTAACAAAAAAAAATTCTAACTAATTTTTTAACATATTTATTATTTAAGTCAAGTTATACGTTTTTCCAAATGTTCACTATTAAAAACCAAAAAACATTTCATTCTTAAATAATCAAACATCGGAAATCAATCACCGGTAATTTTTTGGGTATTCATAGCACCGTTGCTCTAGAAGAGATGCCCACCGCCCTCTAGCGAGAGGAAAAAACCACTGAAGAACACTGATGATAATGACTACGACTTAGGTTGTACACCCTTGACATGAATTTTAAATTTTACTGTCTTTAAATTTAAAATTATAATGTTCATTTTTATGAATAAAGATATGAATAAAAATTGGGTGCATTTTATTGTATAATTTTTTCGAAAACTTATCGATACATCTATGTGAACCGTACGAAACATACCCAACACTAGTCACATTCGTTTGACAGCTGTCATTCTAATCAAGCTATATTGGATAGACTATAATTTTGGATATCGCAAAGGCATAGATAACACAAGTATAAAAGCTGTTATTAATGAAGCAATAGTAATTGAATTCAGCAGTGTAATTATGTCTGAAGTTAATAGAAAAGTATAAGCCATGGCCTGCATAGCTTTTATGATGTTGCTTTTCACTGTCACAATACTAATTGATTACATTTTGTAAGTATAATGTCTTAGATAAACCAGTGCCATTATTTATAGATTGCTGCAGAAGTTTATAGAGACAGCAGCAAGAGCCAAGACACTTACCAATATAAAAATCTAAAGGCTTTGCTTCAGGTTCTATCGTATTATCTTCACTTGCCGAATGCTCTATCGTGTGGTACACTGCCTGAAAATAAAACAGGAGCTGTGGTGTAATTCAGGTAGTAATAAGAAGAGATAGATGATAGATGGAAAATAATCAAAAGGCATTGGGTACAAAAACAAGTTGCTTCTCCTTAATATCCTCCATAATAGAAGCGTATGTTCTCACCTTTAGCAGTTCCAAGCCATCCAGCTTGGAGTTGCCGTCAAAGTCGTGAGCTGCGAAGTACTGGAACTCCAACTCTTCAGGAGTCATCCGAGCCAGAATCTCCGGCGTCAGCACAGAGTCTTCTTCCAGGTGTCTGCAGCAAACAGTATCTTATTATCTTGGTAACAAGTTTTAAAATCATCATCAATATTTTAGCCACAGGCCGTCCATTGCTAAACATAGGCCTTCCCCAATTGGGTGCGTGCTATGTGCCCATTGCCACTTCAGCTTGCTTATCCGTCGGCTAGGTACCAGCTTTATTGCCTGTAATAAAACCTTTTGATGCAAGGGCAATGGTATCTTAGGAATGTTTGATCAACTGTACACACTTTGTCATACAAAAGATAACTGCATTGTCGTGAGAGGCTAGTTATACTTATGTGACTAAACGATGATGTGATAATAATATGATGACATATACGACTTCAGATCGTGGGGTCATAGTTGGGAAACATTAATTAATCAGCATCTGCATTGAAGAATATCTTGTTAAAATGGCACCGAAGAGTGCATTGCATGCTCGTTTTCAAAAGGTTAGTTTAGAAAAAAGATCATAATATGATGAAGATCAGCCAGCTTAATATGAGAATTCAAGCATCAGTTATGTAAGTACTCTTTGAATGTACAAGTTGGAAATGAAAAGAAGAATGTGATGAGGCATTGTTTCGTGATACAAAAGGTCACATTGAACCCTGATCCTTACGCTTACGAATTTAGGTCCACTAGCACGCGCACATCTGCATGTGTCACTACACTAGCTAGAGTAACAACAAGGGGCCACCTACTTGACGTCACGCAGCAGCTCCTTGTCACCAGTCATAGATCCCTGGTCCTTGGGCTGGTAGTGGTGGTGGCTGCCGTCGACCGGCTGCCCGTGCGGGTGGTGCGGCCCGCGGCGCAGCGCCGACACCAGCGAGCTTAGGACCACCAGCACGCTTACTGGAAACGAGTGAAGGTCGTGTTTTAAATCATCATCATCTTCTTCATTCATCATTTATCGACCCGCTCTAATGCGCAAAAGTCACATTAAGGATTTTGCGTACACTCTCCACGCTACCCAGATGCTACGTCAGTCCAATGACATACTATGTAGTTTGGTTTCGAGTCCCATTTGGTTCATGTAGGAAACGAAATATTTTAAGTCAACTCGTTAAGAACGAACTGTGAGATATGCCCTCAGCAAACAAATCTTGCCAAATAATGACTTTATTTTCAAAATAACTTTAACAAATCATTCATAAATAAACACTCTTTCCAGAGTTTACAAAAATAATAGATCTCATCAATATCAATAAATCTCAAAATTGGCAAACTCCTACGCAACTACGCCACGCGCCGTCAATTTGTGAAACAATGCGCAAATAACCGTCGACAAGGACCCTGATTGAGTCACCTGTCCATCAATCGAGGGCATTGTTGCAATATAAAGGGTGCAAACTGGACAGATGGGGGCCCGGGCCCCGGGGCGCGGGGCCCCGCGGCGATGCCCCGCAGGGCCCAATATTCACACCTCATTTGACAAGCACCGCCCTTAACATTTGTCATCAAGTAGAAATACGATAAATTGAGCGCTCGAAGAAAGTAGTTGTTTGAAATTAGTAGCAATTTGCATGAAACTGTTTGCGGACTTGAATGGGAATTAGCTTTACAATAATGAATGGGAAACAGTTTTGTTAATCGGTTATGGTGGAAGCCTATCGTTAACTCTGATGGTGGTAAGTTATTGCGTGCAAAAAAGCTGAGTATATTTTTGTGTGAATTTTTAATACACTGAAAGGTTCTCCGTTCGAGACAAAGGAAACGCAAAAGGGAATCTCGGATTAGGGACAAGATTCAAAGAGATTAAAAATCCAATTCGCATACGAAACCGGCTTAGATTTTAATGCTTAATTACAATGACCAAAGCGGATACGGTAAGAACGTCTTACACAGGTTTGAAATATAATTTTGAGGAACATGTTAGAGCTATGTCATAAAAACTACATTCACCAACACAATGACATGACGTTAAAAACAAAAAGCTTTGATCCTCTTAATACCAAATCCTTATCACAGTTTGCAATCTAAAAAATATCAAACGAACAGGTGCTGTCCCGCCCCAAAAATGCATTACAAGGGACATTCAATGTATCAAACGCATAATTAATACAGGCCGAACAGTTGTTCGTAAGACGAGAAGGCAGTATGTGGGGCACGAAATGGGCCCGTAATGGAGTACAAATTAGAGGGAGACAAGTGCGCCGTGCATATGTCGGGGTGTCTGGTACAAGCGGCGGGACACACGGTCAGAAAGGGTGGGCAGCATTTTTCGAGAGCAGCAAGCCATATCCTATCAAACATTACAAATATGAATTTTTAACCTTGAGGTGTACTAATTTGTACAATAATTAGAGAATTTCTTTCCAGTTGCATAAACCCAAATTATACTCGTATTGCAAATACGAACTGTTATCGCATCTCAAATAAAAACACTTAAAAAATATAATTGGGACCCGGGAGCGACCGCTTCGATTGGTGATTCGCGACAGACTCCCCGAGCGATGTAATAGAAAAGACACATCTAAAAATGCATACCATGTATAGGGTGCAATGATGATTACGTTAGCTCTTCTCCATACATAGCTAGGCTGTAACAGAACGATCTACAATCTCTACCAACTCAATGTAACAACCACAAGAGCGCACCAAACCGCGTAACCGTATGTCGCACTCTGAATTCGAAACACTCTTAAAAATGGGGTCCGTCATCGTCCGTACGGAACCCTGCCCACCGTATTATCACCATAACACCCTAATCCCATGTGATTACAATGACGCGAACGGGTCATGAATTCCTTTATTCTGGCTTTGGTTACATTTAAGGTCTCAATAGGGGATGATGGGGTAAGACAACCGGCTCTGCGATGGACCGTTAATCCTCTCTATCCTTTGGGTTGACATTAATTTGGGTAAATAAACATAATTCACTTGTCAATTCACCGCAAATTGAATTGTGCTATTAGAAGTTGCATTAATTCTTTTGCTTAAAATATTGTGGTTACTAATTAAAACCTAACCAAATGTTAAATTATAATTGAATAAATTAAGTCTAAAATAAGGTATTCAGAAATTCTACTACCACAAACACTGCCGCCACACATAATGTTTCTATAGCGTTTCATCTTTCAACCACTGCAACAGGTATCAATGTTGAGCCTCAGAACTCTACCTATGAACATTTTAATAAAATTGCTAAGGCTAGTTAAAACAATCGTGGATCTTTTACATTTAAAGTAGGTACTACGAATTATCTAAATTGAAGAATTATGTAGGTCAAACATAAAACTTTCATGAAAGAAGGATGGTAATAGTGTGGCAAAATTTCATTGCAGAAAAGGTAACTGTCTTTATTACATACGAAAGCGGGAAATTGACTCATACTTTATTCATCTCTTTTTTCTTTTGCAACAAACCAAATATTTAGATTGCATGGCAACAGACCCTCAGTGATAACAATGTTGGTGTTGGGACATAAACATATGAAAGAATTGTACTTAAACTTATGCCTGATTCAAAGGTAACATCGCTTACGTATAAACTATGATAATGCCAATATTTACCTTCAAGTTGCATCTCTACAGCATCACTGAATTTAGCTTTATTAAATTTTGTTTTACCTCTACACATGATCAGAAAACATTTTGGCAAGCATCTGTGACTGTCAAGGGTGACACAAGAAATCGATGTAACAGCGCAGGCGCGAAGCTTTCACACGAAAACTGTACTTATTACCAAGAGTTGAAGAGTTACAGCTCTGTGTCAAGAACTGAAGTTTGTGCGCATGGCTATTCTTGCTACTTCAGCCAGTTTTCCAAGATGCATCATAGATGTCGTTAGTAGCTTTTCATAAGCTTGCTTGAGCTTTGTGGCTGGGATTCCACTCGAAGAGGCAAATCATGATTACAAGTTTATTAGCAGAAATTTGAGCTTTTGCTAGATATCCTCATCGACATCTCATTTTAATAACATTAAAGCTCATTTGATTTCTATTTAATTTCTTTTAGAATATAATGTTCAGTTGGTCATTTTTTCCACGAACTAAGTAGATCGTTTTGCTTTCAAGTAAGTGTGTAGGTAAGTTTAAGATTATGAAATCATAACCATCATGATCAACCTTCTTCAATTAATTACAGTTTCACCAATTGGAAGCCAAGCAGGGCTTATTTGCTACCTTGCTATGTTTTTAAAAAGAATAATTGTGGAATCTATCTATTAAAAAATTTAACATCTATTTTAACCGGTTAAGGTTTTCGTAAAATACCTACTATACATTATTCCTTCTATTATTGAAGTTAATATAAATAAATATTTAATATAAAAGCACAATACAATTCCGCTCAAGGCCATGTTCCTCGCAGTAATATAAATGCAAATCAAATCTGCATACATCAATTTTTGCATACCAATGCATTTGCAAGGTATTCAATTCGGTAAAACTTTTATAAATTTCTGCGGACGTATGATTTTGGATCTCATTCTGTATGTTTAATCCACGTAAGGTATAACTACTAATGAATAAGATAACTTTATAGAAAGGCTTTATAAAAAAATAGTAATTAAGTAGTTAACAAGAGTCAATTTTATAATAAGGTGACTCCTGCTCCCATGCATTTTGTATTGCAAAGTTTGAAGTTATGGACGTACTATTTTATTATGTGGTTCTGGTTATGGTGATAACTTTACTGTTAATTACAAAACTAGTATGGCTTTCAGCGTTTAATATTTAGATAGCATATTAATATTAGGGTTGACGTCATTTACTTTAATTCTACGTTCACACGGTAAGATGTTTCTAATAGGTGCTAAGTCCTAATCCCAACATAATGAATGATGTCAGACTAAACATCAAGCATGTGAAAATCGATCGACTCTATTCGAAAACAAACACAAATCTTTGATCCGATATCAAAACCGAACGCTGCTCCAAAATTCATTTCCTAACTCTACCACTACCCTATGTACCTACATACACGAAACCAAACTCATCACAGTGTTTACAGCCCTCTATCTTACCCCACCGTGTATAATGTATACCTACAGCCTGTCAACAACTGGCATAGCTCCGTCTATCAATAATAACCTTTGAAATTTCCCTATAGAACTCATTTTCTCTTAACTCCTCACTGAAATAGATCTTTATTCCTTTAAAGATAGGAACAGAATTTGCTAGCACAACAACGCTTAGTAACTACTCCGTCAACGTAACTCGCTTCATCTTCCACTTGGGAAAACTCACTTTACTGTCTAAGTTTTAGGATTCAAGATAGGTTGAAATAAGGCTGCGGTAAAGGCTTTTTGGGGGGAAATGTTTATGTTTATATCGTTCTGTTGCTGTTAAAAAGAGACAGGCGTATGCAGGCGTGTGGGGATCGCATGATCAATACGTGCTGCGTATCTTGTCTAATGGTCGTTTTCTTACATTTGCATGCTAATTGTCTTTCGGAGCCTTCCTTTTGTCTCTGACGCAAATTGCGAGGAATTAGTCCTCGTTGTGTTCTGTTAGTTTGGCATTTAGTTTGCTAAACGTATATTATGTTTACAGTTTCAAAGATACAATCAGCACAATATTATCCCTGAATGGAATGCTGGTGAAAATATCCATTCACAGGAAATATGTGCAGCAGCAGTTTCATGATGTTTTCGCAGGAAATTCAGTGTGATGCTTTTAAAGATAAATCAATGCAAAAAAATAATAGCACACATAATAAGTTTGCAATAAAATTTTTAAAATGTATTTTTGTAACGAATGCTCTTATATGTGTCTAGGCGACTCTATATACATAACTATGACAGCAATAGATGACTTATGTTAGAAACGAGCCAATTCTCATTTTTTTTTGCAAAATATGTAAGCCTAGGTATAAAAATTACTGTCTTGTGGTTAAATTTTTGTACATAAACCCTATTATACCTCAAGACTGCAGTAACCAGTTTAATTAAGTAGGTACCTACGAGTACCTACAATATAGTTCAACATTTATGTATGTAGCTAATAAGTTAAAATAAGCCAGTGTCGAGTATTTAGCCAGCGAGTATGCCAGTATATGTGGGAAACAATGAGTTTCAGCACCACGCCACTCGGTGGGCGGGCGGGGAGCGTTGCCTAGCAACCGCGCCCACCCAGATCACTTTTAAACTTTCATGGCGAACTTTTAAGGTTTGTCTGCGGCGGAGATTCGCCATCTTTTTGTTTTGAGCTCCTTTTAACGTGTATCCACTGTTTCAAATTTCTGCAAAAGAAAAACAAGATGGTGAATGGGAATTAAAGAACTTTCCGTTGTGGCTTGCTTCTTGGAAATTTTGGTTAGATATAATTTCTAGGAATAAAATACAATAGCATATTATAACTACGAGTATTATTATCAAGATTTACATATTATACCATTTGCAAATTGCACAAAAAAGAATTTTAAATTAGTCTGAAATAACACCACGTTGGGCGCCAATTTATAGTGCAAAATTATTTTAATTTCATTTACAAGGTTCTCGTATCTTGTTATTTAAACACAATTATTTGAAAACACAAAGATTTTTTATAACAATTATTAAGAAAAATAAATAACTCATATTAAGAGCAACATAAAATGTTTTTGTTTTATTTCAGACGCCCAATCAGTAAGCCCGCGCAAAATCAGGATAAAAATGTGAATATCACTAAAAATGCTGACGTACACCCCACGGGAAATAAATTAAAGTAAGGTGCAAAACTCGCAGCCTCACCGCGATACTAGTTTGTTCAGTTTTGAGAAAAACAAGGTAATAAGTATTCGTTGTTGATTTAAATATCTCATGCCCTCATAAAATATGATTTCTGCGGCGAAATTATTCAACTTCCTTCCCTCGCAAGATTTTTGTCTCAAGATTCAACCAACCAAAATCAAGAATCACAACCTCCGAGCGATCCGTATTTATCCGATTTTTCTATACCGAAGCTAAAGTTTTTAACTTAGGAAAGAGCTTTGTACAAAATTGATGAGCGTACGTAACCGCACCCCAAGCATCCCCGAAGGTGCTTTTAGGTGTAATTGGCAAGCTTTTAAGACTGCCTCGCGTTCGTTTGACATCGCCCGCGCCGGGGCAAAACGGCCGCCGCCATTTTGAAAAAATAATTTGAAACAAGGCAAAAAAATAAGTTTTCCAGCCAGTTAGCTGTTTAGGTACTCCATGGTTTCGCGTCCGATCTTTTTTCGGTTTTGTCGTTCCGTGGAAAATGCAACGTTGAAAATGTGAATTTTCTGGAATAGGTGCTCGAGCTTTTTTGGTTGAAGGGTTTGAAGTAACCACACTTCTAATGGGTTTAACTGAGGTTAAATACCGACAAAACAAAGTGAAAAATTATGATAATATGGGTATTCATTAAAATGCAAATATTGTTCAGTTTACTTGGTTTACGTTATCGGAGTTCAATTCCAGTTGTGGGCTCGATCGAACGAATACCATTGGCGCTATCAGTACCAAAATTAGGTTAACCGATGAGCGTTTATAATGCAGGCCTTATTTTAGTTTAAGACTTTTTGAATAGTACTGATAGTACTACTGCATTGAAAACTTACAAGCTTAAACTTAGCTAGTTAACTAACAATAAAATATAATAATAGGTACATACTTAATTATCATTATGATAACGTAATAGCTAATTCACTAGTTTAGATGTTTTAGAGTAACAGCGTTCAATCGGCTCATAGTAAGATAGCCTGTGTGTAAAGTTTACGTACCTCAATAGCAACGCTCATTTTTTATACTTTTTTCAATATAGCTCGACTACGAAAACTATTTTTTGCCACCCTTTTTGTCTACACTCGTCCAATGGGACAAAAGCAAAAAATACACACGCTAGCATAATGGCACTGTTCCAAGCCCGGCCAGCACGTGGCTACAATAAAAAAGTTACAGTTCTAATTTCAAATTAAGTGGGCGGCGAAGAGCGCGCGCGCCAAATTAGGCGCCAATTTTGACAGCGGGACAACCGAATATTTTCCTGTCAAAATATTTTCGCAAACAATCGACGCTCGCATTCAATGCGTATGGTTTCCAACGCCCATTTTTTAACAACAAAACAAAACCACAATTAGCATAAGCGATTATTCTTTGTTCGGTAAACAATAAATCTTTTATTGTTACAATATTTATTTTTGGTAAGCGCTGATGAAATTCATCGTTAGGTTTGGTCTATTTGGAATAATTAATAGCCGTGTAGCAATTAACCTGTCGTCCAATCGAGGGGCTTGTATAAATAATTAATCAAGGAAAATGGCTCAAAAAGGATGATGAATTATAAAATTAAATCGCAAACGTTTCGTGGATTCCGGAGAGGCTTGGGAGGCTACATGGGATTTCTCCCTCCGTGTGAGGGCACAAACCCTTTTCAAGGGTCGCCTATACCTAGTCGCTGACAAATTCTGACCCTTCGTAATAGAACGACCCATAATAAATAAGTGATTTTATGACAAAAATGCTATTTCAGAGACAGTGGCTTTTACCAAACAGTTTTTACATTATACCTTCTTCATACATTCATGAAAGAACTGGAATGGAAGAAAAAATTAATAATTTTAGCACATTATCTGCTTCAATATTCTTAGATTCATTCATATTTTTAGATTATATTTATTAATATATTTTTAAACCATATAACCAGCC